AGCTTAGAAGTTTGTCATTTTGCACAGCTGCACATCAGTTTGTTTGTCAGTTTACAAGAACACATGTCACTTATTGTAATCTAATTTGGATATTCATTAGCAAATTTGAGGTAAGGCTGAAATGCTTTGTATTTTTGGCTCTCTCAGGGTAAGTTTTCTTAAATGGCACAAAAGTTACAATTCCTGCCTTCCAAACTAGTGGACCCAAGTTTGAATCTGGGATATGCTGGGTTTCTTTTAAACCATTGGTCTTTTTCTTGTCTAGCTTAACTTTTTTTTTTTGCAGGTTTGGAACTGACAATAAAATGGTTTTTGATGTTAAAATGACCTTGCTGTTTCACATAATCTACCTCAAATTGCATTTGATAGTTTACAGTGTAACTCATAAAAAATCCCTGACTTCTCAGAAGTCCTTTCATAGCATAACATAGTTTTCATCCAAACCCATGTGCAAGTCTGTGAAAACTTTTGTTACATGATTACAGGCTTTCCTGCAGCAAATGAACCCTAAAGCACTTGTTCCTCATCTTGAATCAGAGAACGCCCAGAAACAGGAAAGAAAGGTATAATTTAATAGTAAAAACAGACTCATTTTCTACCTATAATGTGTTTACTATATTTAATTTATTACTTAATTTATTAGTTCTAATCAACTAATGTGGAAAAATTTTAGTTTTTGTGTATGTATCTTTCTATGGACACCATTTTGACCCCCCCCCTGCCCCTCCAAAAAAAAGTTTCTTCAGGGGTGAATGGCATCATCTCCATGTTTGTCCAGTTGCTTTCTTTCTAGTGTTGTGCAATATTGGGGACTTTTGAGTGTTGAGGCACGTTATTGTGGACTGTAGTGGATAAGTTGTTTATTTAAAGTTCAAAGTCAGTGTTAATGGCATTTAAAAATAGATCAAATAGATCAAAGGAGGAAAGGTATAGTTTCACTTCGCTGACCTAGATTTCTGTGTGCAAATTATGTAANTGCAGTTGAATTTACCTCTTTGAGCATTGTTATATTTAAGAGAACCTCTCAAGTACATGTACACATGTACACTCACTGGATTTATGGTACGTGTAGAAAAGTCTGATTCCAAGTGAGTCGCAATGACTGACAAATTGTTTTTGTAGTACAACTTCGAACTTTGCATAAAATTTCACACCGAAAAATGGAGATATTTATACTTCCACAATTTTCTGTATCACTGTTTTCAATTTCCTTTTATTTTTTGTTCTCAGATCAATAAATGGATGAGAAAATATCAACAAAATCAGCAGAGGAGAACTTCGCCATTTCTCTATTTTGCTGCAGACAACTCTGAAGAAACGGAAGATGCAACAGATCATTATCAACTAAAGTTTGGTCGCTCTGAGGTATTGCACCAAATTATTCTTTCATTATTCAATATGTAACAGTCTTTTAGTTGCATTTGAGACAGTATAAACTCGCTTTTGCCATTTTTCATGCACATATGTTTTAATAACAAGACCTATTCCACAATACTTTTCACAAGCAACCTCGCTTTACCTTGGAGTAAAGTGCTAATTAACATGGTTAGCAAATTTCAAAATGATTGAAATAACTGTGTGAATGTTTTGATCTGGAAAACTCTGAACGACAAGTTCACTGCTTAACAGTCATCAGAGTTCATAATCATTCTAAGTAACTCAACGTGTTCCACTCTAAACATCAATAGAGTCCAAAACATCCAATTGAGTTACCCTAATAATCAAACTAAAGTAACTGCAATGGTTCATANGCTCATTACATTGTGGAACTTATTAGTAAGAATTAAGATGTGCTCATTACAGAAAGCTAAGGCACATTAAAGGGTTGTGTTTATTTGGCCATAGGGCTGTTATTGCAACAAAAGCATTAGGTCTTGTTATTCATATAATTATGACTAAGCTTGCATAAAAGAGGGGTAGTTAATACAAATAATTATTTATTTCATTTTTCTTCTTGGATGAAAAAAGTAACTGTAAAATCTTTCCCTCTCAATGTTTATCATCCTTAATGACAATAATAATCATAGATCATGTGACTTTGAGAAACTGTTACCAGAAAGTTGTTATTGTTTGTAGTGGTAAACTACCAGCCAGCAAGTTGAAAAACCTAATGCACCTGAAAGCTTTCCGAGCATTGGCAGAGCCAGGAGAAGCTGTTGGGCTGTTAGCAGCTCAGGTGAGGACACTAAACTCAAGTGTACACCCTGTCTTCATGACATAACACTGTATATTTTGTAAAGCGAACATTTCGGACAACACAGTGACAAATAGTGTGAAGCATCAGGGCTAGATTGGTTTTGTTGCACCTCTCAGCTTTGCCAAGGCATTGCTAATAACCAGAATGTTGTCCGTGTTCTTTTCATGCAGTCTATTGGTGAGCCCTCAACTCAGATGACACTCAACACTTTTCACTTTGCTGGTCGTGGTGAAATGAACGTTACTCTTGGAATTCCAAGGCTGAGGTAATTTTGTTAAATAAATATTCCACTACACATTGCTTTTTTTCACTTCATCATTTGAAAATGTGATGAAACAGTGTATCTCTTATTTGTTGTGTCAATAGTAAAATTGATTTACATGATACCGCACATGAAACTGGTATTTAAAGTGGTGCTATGATCAAATATTTACCCCTTGAATTTTTAGCTTAATCACATAGAATTCCATGAAAGATTAAAAACACCATATACCGTTTGCAAATATCTGCATTGGTGCTGGAGATATTTAAGTTTGAAAAATGTGTATAATATGCAAATGAGAGAACTCAACCAACTATTACGTCAAGTATACGAATATAAAAATGTATCACATCAAGCACCTTGCATTTCAGGCTTTGAATTGAAATGGTTTTGAAAGTGAAGTTCTGAGAAATACCTTATGTAATGTTAATTTTGTTGGAATATTCAATTTTAGGGAAATCTTGTTGACTGCCAGTGCAAACATCAAGACTCCCAGTATGGATCTCCCTGTTAAACCAGGAAAAAAATCACGCAAGCATGCCAAACAGTTGCAGAGGAAATTCACAAAAGTTACCTTGGCACAGGTATCACATACTGTCTCTATTGTCTCCATTCTAAAATATGATGTAGTATAATTTATTTGGATTTCATCACCCTTTGTAAACCCTGTGAAACGCTGCTCTGGACTACAGTATCTAGGGCAGCACAAGGGCTTGCTAGTAGAAAGTTGATAACCAGCTTTCTGGGTTGTAATCAGTTATGCTTTTTGTGCAGGTATTAGAATCTGTTGATGTCTGGGAGTCATTGTCACCGAAGACGAAAGGAACACGGTGAGAAATTCTCCACCATGCATTTTCAGTGAACTGTTGGTAGTAATAAGTTCATGATAGCTATTCTTACATTGTCAGTGCACCTGTTCACTTTCCCCAGTGAAGTATTCTGGCTAGAGTCGACTCAACATTGAACATGTTTTGTGGTAAAATTACTGATAATTAAGCAATAACATTACCAATCTTATAATAATTTGCATTTGACAATCATGATATGGTGCTGTTTTAATATCCCTATTCTTTATTTTAAAACTGCATGATACCCGGCCAATTTGAACAAGTATGTATAGCACACTGCTTATTATTTGCTGTTAAGAAGCTTTTATCGTCTTCTTGCATATTCATGTTCTATATTGCCCACTCACAAGCTGAGAAAAAAATAAACAGTCCATATTCAGTCCATATAAAGTCAATATCCAGTCTATCTAGTCCATAAACAGTCCATATAAAGTCAATATCCAGTCTATATCTAGTCCATATACAGTCCATGTCCAGTCCATATCCAGTCCATATCCAGTCCATATTCAGTCCATATTCAGTCCATATCCAGTCCATATCCAGTCCATATGCAGTCCATATCCAGTCCATACACAGTCCAAATCCATATATGAACATGATTATCAAACCTATTAATATTAAGTGGGCAAACTTCATCATGTAATTTGTTGTAATCGGCACTGACATAAATTAATATTTTACTTACACGAAACCGTAAACTGGGTATGAGTGTAGTACGCAGAGGTTCATGCATAGTACATTTTGTAACATGCCCATACCTCATTACCTTTGAGTGTGTTTGGTTGTGTAATGAAGGCAAAATATCGTATGTTGTGCTCACAGTCCCAAGCAGACGGCATCCTCTTGCTGTGCACTTGTGATCAGGAAATAAAGGAGAAGAGTATTAAATGAACATCCAGCAACCACACACCCCCACCCCCCTCTTTATCTTAATACATTGTCTTCCCTCATCTACCTTTTGACAAATAATTATGTGAAAACCACTTATGAGGAAATGTTCATTTTGTATTTCTTTGGCGAAAGATCTAGAGTGCATCGCATCAAGTTTAAATTTCTCAGTGAGTCATCTTACAAGGTAAGAGCAGGAATAAGTTAAGCATAAGATTAACTTCGTCTGGATTTAGTTTTATCTTCAGAAGGTTGCTTCCATCTGATACCATAAAATTTAAAGTATAAAATGAATTTATGCATAAGGTGAATAAGGCTCAAATTTAGCTTCAAAATAGGGGGTACAGTTAAGTTAATTAGCACCAGCTGTAAATGAGTTTTTTCCATAAAGGTTTAAGTAATATCATTATCTTAACAGCAGGTACTTGACACACTTTTTTGGTACTGTGTTTTAGAAATAAAATCATATTAACTCATAGAAATCTATCATTATTTGAGCAGGGTACACTGGTTAGAATAAGCACGTAATTCTGACAATGACAATAGACAGTGCGCAGATAACCAGTGTCTGTAAATTGGGTTGATGATATACCATAGTTAGTGACTCGGAACACAGAAACATACCCATTGTCTGTATTAAGCAGGTTAATTTTGGAGAAAATATTAATGAGCTTTTTGTTGGGACAAACAAAACTGTCCATTATATTTCATTTTGGGTGTGCATATTTAGCAGGTGTCCATTGAGCGGAGTTCCACTGTATTTATGTAAATTGTTAACTTAATAATAGTAGTATTCATAATTTTAGTAATTTTGAAGTTTTTTCTTTTTTTTTTTTTTTTTCATTTTTTAAACAGGGTTTTCTGCTTAGTATACATTCTTTTTATCTTTAGTTGGCATATACATGTTTTGAACAAACTTTTAAGTCAATAGAGGTTACATGTCTAAGCAAAATTAATGACTGACTGATTGATTGGTTGGTTGCATGGTTGAATAATATGTGTAAAAAGTAAGAGTAATTTTTTGTATAGCTTGAAATAAAAATAACAGAAAGATCTACTGTGATAACTAAGATTCGACCATCGTTAATGCCAAACTGGGGTCAGATCATCTGTGGCTAGTACATGCATTCTTACATTCTAATGTTTTATGTAGTAGAAATGATAAAGAAAGTCTTTTGAACAGTTTTAACTAGTTAAAATAGATGGAATAACACTGAAAATACATTTCTCTAGTGCCTGTGATCATCAGAGAGTAATAATAACATAATAACTTATTGATTCCTGGATTCTCCCTTGTAGCCCCTAGACTAGTAATTAGGCTGGGATCATTTACCATCATTGTCAGTACTGATGCCATATATTAGTAGACGTGTCACCAAAAAATAATGTAATTTGTTAATCATCACACATTTGTTTGGGCATTGACATATTTAACATCACCCAGATTGGTGCATTATGAACTACAGTCAGCCCTTAGACCTGGTCCTAGTTGTCTCATGTTGTCTCATGTTGTCTTGATAAATTGAATAGAGAAGTGTCTTAAACTTCCCTAAGTGAATGCACATTCTTTTAAAGAAGGTGTTTGTCAATAAGCTTTGAACTCATCATCAGCTTAAGATTCAAAATAATACCAGAATGCTAAACTACTCTGCTTTATTTTTAGGAAGAACTGTCTGTGAGAGCTGCAGAAATTCTTCGTTACATGGAATCAAGTTTCATAAAAAAGTTAATTTCTGCAATTGTAAAAGCCACAAAAGCTAAAAACAATGAAAGGTCAGTGTGGCAAAGTGCTACAACAATTTCAGTTAACTATGTCGAATCAAAACCTCAGGGTTATGTAACGAGACTGAAAGGTAGTATATTGAGCAAAGATTAATGAGATGTAACAATAATTGTTATTCTAATGGTGTCTTGTCTTTCCTTGGAGATTTGTAAGCAAGGTGCTTTTACCCACTTTGTAACTCAAAGCCACATAATAGTGAAAGAAATGCTATGTAAAAAGGTCTCATGAGATGAAAGGAGAGACATCATGTGCTAATAAAAGTAACTTCTTGCAGATTTCCTCTTGCTGATATGCAAAATGCAAATGAGTACCCAAACCACCATTTGGTCTTGTTGTGTAGACTTAATGCTTTAAACCAACAATGTAATGCTAATTGAAATAGCTTGTTTGTAAAAGTTCTGTGATAAGCAAATATGTACTTGACATGTTCGCAGTGAATCTGTAACCTATTATTTCAGGTGCACTCGTCTGTGGCAATTCTGGGTCACCACTTTGTTTGCTTTAATGCAATAGCTATATGTATAAAACTTTAGGAAAGCTTTCAACTTATGTATGGTGATATGAATTCAAAGCACTGCAACGCAGCAAATCATGGTAGTATTTTGAAATCCATGTGGAACAATTTTGACTCAAAACTGCTGAATAGTTTTCATTGAAATTTTGGAAAATGTCACCTTAATCATAGTAGTAGTGCTCTGTCCTCAAGAAAAAAATAGCACCACAGGGAACGTGGTCCTCTTTAACAGCCAGTCATAACTTTAAGCACCTTAAAAATCTTTTTGCCATAAGAATACATTTTATTTTCCAAGTTCTGATTTCAGTCTTTTCTAATGCAGTTACTTCTCATCTCATGTGTTTTTTGTACTGCTACATGTAAGTTGTGAGGTGAAGGATGTCATTTGCTGATTTATACACATACGCGTATTTTATGAAATTTTAGGATAATTGAGACTGCAGAAGACAATGAACATCCAAGAAATGTTAGCAACGAAGAAGGAATTGCTCAGGGTAGGAAATTCAAATCATATTTTACTATAAATGAAAGATAACTTCAACTTTGATTGACTGTCACCCTGGCTTGGGCCAAACTGGTCTACACTGAGAGCTTATTCTGGTTTCCAAAGCTTGAATCGACTTAGAATATTGCTACTCACCATGGGTAGAATTCAAGCCCACCTTGAGGACTTTGTTTGGTTTTGGTAACAGTTTACGACTCATTTGCATACCTGGTTGAAGAGTGGGACTATGAGGTGTCTTTCCCAAGAATGCATGGCGGTGATCCGAGCCAGAGCTCAAACCCAAACTGCCCAACCCAGAGACTGGAACACTCACCACTGCATCTCCCAAACTGCTATTTATGTGTTTTAGATGCATGTAATTTTATTTAGCTTTGTTGTCTGTTTTGTTCTGCATCATGAAGTTTAAATTGCAAAAAGATTAGGCCATTTTAAATAAAACAAGTGATCAACTATTTTGTTTTTTGCATTCTCAATAATTAATTTCAAACTAGAAGATGCTCTATAAAAGGAAAATTAAATTAAAGACAGCTTAACTGAACAAGATATAGCTCCAAGTAAGCTTTGAGTAACTTGATGAAAATGACCATGATTAATTTTGTGGGCGCTGCTTTACGGTCGCCTGTTTGATGCAAACTCCAGTAAAGTATATATTTTCTTAAAGCATAAGGTGGCTCAAAACACTTTCCAGCACTTAGATTTTGATGGGTCGTCATAACCACTCTTTATCACTTGAGGCTACAATCGTGGTATCAAAAAAACTGCCCAGTCATTGGTTAACACGTTGTTATCATTTTAGTGACACAATAGGTTACCATGGCAACAGTATGACCTGCTAAAAGCACCCTTAAATACAGCTTTAGAGGCTTAGAATTCGGTGAATTTTTTATATTATCAAATTTTAATAAGCACGATAAGACGCAACTTTTGGCAAAGTTCAAAACAATTCTGTATATAGCGTTCAGAGCCACATAAATTTTCAAAACTTTAAGGTGGCTCTGAACCCTATATAAACACATGCAAATGTTTCAAATGTCAATCATAGCAACTAGTAAAAACTTGTTGAAACCCCCCTTTCCCCTTTCATTGAGGGAAAATGGCAAAACGCATTTATTTGTCCATTCAGTGATTTTCAACATTGCACAGGACAAAATGTGTGAAAACTGGAGTGTTTCCACTATTATGCTGAAGCTTGCTGGTTCTCGTGGGAATTGTTTTTTCTGTAGCAATCATAGCAATCATATGGACACTTTTTTTTCTGGAGCAATCATTGTGATCATATGGAAAGCAGCCTTTACTTTATCATAACTTTGCTGAGGTCTGTCTTTTGTAATTATTTTTTGTTATGTAGAACTGCTTTTGCAAGTGATGTATAATCTTTTACTTTTAAACTCTTGCAGAAGATAATGGTGATGATGATGATGACAATGCTGAGTTATCTGATGAAGAAGCAGCAGATGGAGATGCTAATGAAGCAAAACAAAGGCAAAGACGTCAACAGGTATCCTGTGATTGAGTGATGTGGAATACAGTATAGGGCAGGTTACCATTAGCTGTAAATTCTGATCAATTCTAGACTTGGATTTTCCATTCATTGACTGACCTGATTGTCTGGAAGGTAGAGGCTTCAGGACACATGTACCTGACATGTACCTGTTTGATGTCATTGGAGTCTCATTATCTCCATTTAAAATCTGATTTCACAGCATGCCAGCTATGAACCGCCAGATGAGGATGAGCAAGTGGCTGACAATGAACTTGAATACAATTCCGAGGGTAAGAAGAACAACCTGACAATAGGCTATTTTCAAGTTAACCCTGGCCTCTGTGCAAAAACGAGTCTTCTTCCAAACCCATTCAAAATAAACGGTTTGACTAACGTGTTTACATCCTTGTTGCCACCCGGCAATTCAGATCACATAATGATTCATTTCATGTTGGGAGGTTACAATTGTGTAATTTGTCATATACAGCTGATTGCATGGGAGTACGTACAAACAAAACAGCTGTAACCTTCCAAATAAGTCATCATATGATCTGAACTGGGTGGCAACAAGGATGTGAACATGTTAGCCGAAACTGTCTATGTAGGTTCTTTTCATTCAAATCGATCCCAGTTTCAGCAAGATGAGAATGCACTTGTGTGCAAATAAAGAAACTAAACAGAATACTTAAAGGAGAGGTGCCGGAATGAAGAGAGCATAATCATTGTTATAGCCTCAGTGTGCTGAGTGATGATTGCTTCTGCAGACAAACTTTTTTCCATTTGCTCGCATAATTTACTGGATTTAATTTGTTGCACTTACAAAGATGATGACGACAGCGAGGTGACAATGGATTCAACAGTGGACAACAATTACCAGGGTAAGTACATTGCATAAGTTTACAGTAACCCCCTTGTACATTGCCTTCCGTTATTTCTCTTTAGGTTCAAGCGTGCTTACTTGCGTATTTAAATTCTTGTAGTATTCTTATCTTTTTTGGAGCGGGAACTTTCTTTTGTTTTCTATTCAGAGTGGAAATATGCAAGCACCTCAAAAGCTTTTCAACTGTTCTTTGTCTCTGTCCAACTTCTATATGCTAAGTAATTGCAAATTGAGCTCAGTCAAGTTGGATTGAAAAACATATTAGTAACCTGTTAGAGTATGTATAATATGTTCTTACAACTTAGGATAAAATGTAGTTATAGTTTCAAAAATTATCTGAGGAAGACTGAATCGAACCAAAGTCTTACATTGTATTAAAAACAAGTATTCTAGACTGGTCAAAATATATTGCTTGGTCCCATTTTAGGTTGGAATAGCTTGGTCCCATTTGAGTTTGGGGCATAGCTTGGTTCCATTTAAGACTTGCATTAGACTGGCATAGCTTGGTCTCATTTTAGATTGGTATAGCCTCCCATTTTAGTTTCCTTTGTGACCCTGTTAACTTGCCACTCCTCAAAAACATGTCGATTTTGTATGGTATTTATCTCCATCAGCGCAGCACTGAAAGCTTGAAACCTTCACAGCAGAAATTTGTGTTTCAACTTGGTACCTTTGCTCTCCATGGGAGCAGTGAACGTTCGTCATTTAACCAATTCATTCATGCATTTTCTGTGGCCATGCTTCCTATTACACCTCACTATATAAGCACACATACAACCATAACACTTAAAACCTAGCTTGCTACAGGGAGTTACTGAGTAATTTTCCTTTATTTACTTCAAATTGATAAATACCCAAGTCTTTCACTTGCCCACTGACAAAGCCCAACAGTTTGTTTAGAAGCCAACATATTAGACCACTGACCCTAGCTACTCACAAAAATGTTTTGATGCTCTTCTAAAAACTGTTGAATCCATGCCCTTCCTCGCTGTGGGCTAGGCTGTGGCACTGAGCGCTACATACAAGCTGGGAGCCACAATTGGAGGTCATTCAACTTAGGTCATTTAAATTGTGTTACTAGACTGCCAAAGCTAAAGATGCAGCTGCAATAGTCAATTGTTTCATCTGTTCATTTATGTTTGTACCATTTATTTTGAAGAAGATGAAGATCTACATTACAGCGAAGGTAAAGATCAGGAAGACGAGAATAGGATCAAACACCAACCCTTCAATGTTGATAGTACCCGAATACAGGTACCGCAAACAAAAGATACAGATGCTACTTCAAGAAGCATCATATTTACGTGTTTTCGTAATCAAGATTTACATCCAAATTTGTGATCATTCCATTTGGGATGATTATGATCAAGCCCTTTATTCATTTACTTACTTCAATTTACAAGTTGCGATTTGGTGGTCTGATTTTTGTCCTTTTTTTCCACTTGAAATGATAAGAATTGGCCTGATGTTTCACTACATCGATCATCTTTTAAAAGTAAGGCCTATTTTTATCTGCGCACATTTTCTCATTGTCCAATATGGTCGCAATGAGGCCACCAAATCGTAGCTTGTAAATTATTGCCTTCAGACTGTAAACAAATTAATTTTATGCTTTCAGCGTGTTTTGGAAAGCGACATTCGTGTTGGATCTTATTCTTATGATGTCAAGAAAGAGAAGTGGTGTGAAGTGTCCTTGAAGGTAAGCAGTGCTGTGGTATACCTGACCAGGCCAGCTCAATGTAAGCACATGGGCTTATACGAGATTTAATTCTCAGGACAACATGATTTCTTGCAGTAATGTTAGCCTTTTCACCGTTGCCATGTCATTTTCCTGGTCACAGTACTCTTGCTCACAAGCTGTCATACATGCCAATTGGTTTTAAGGTTCCTTTAAATCCTAGCCTAAGAGATTTCCAGCTGAAAAACAACCTAAGAAAACGTAATGAGAATAACACATGGATGTTTGGGTATTAACATGAGTAGAAATTTGTGTCTCTATAGTTGTCACATCTGTTGCAGTAGGTGTTTTAGTATAAACCTATCAATAGTCCTTACGATGTATTTCGGCCACTACATGCCATTACAAATGTTGCATGGCTCAGGATCGCTTGTGAGGAGACAGTTTTCTCAGAGCCCACATTGCTATGCTATAGTAAGAGCACCTTAACGATCATATGCCACTTGTATTGTGGTCTATATGCTGAATAGGCTGCGATATTATGCCATGTGTTCTTCATCCTCTCCTTTACCCCATCTGAAGGTTTTTCTTGACTCCTCCATAAAGCCAGCAAAACAAAAAGACCCAATAACTATTTAGCACCCTATATCAGACATTTACTGTATACACTTCAACTTTTTTCCAGTTTCCTGTTACAAGCTACAAAATACAAGTGTCATCACTGATAGAGAAACTTGCCCATCAGGTCTGTGAGAAAAAGTCGAAGGCAAATTATTTATTGGAAAGAAGAGCAAATACAAATTTAGAATCATATAATCCTAGTGTTGTGTGAAATGTTTTTGTTATATAAACTGCAATGCTTTACAAGGATTTCCAGCCCTGAGAAAAGCCGTAATTGAACACGTGTTAAATTGCGATAATATCACTATGATGACGTAATGGTTGATATCGTGTTTGACCCTTTAACTGTACTTAAATTTGTTGGTGTATGATCGAAACATCTTCGGATCTTCCGCGGAATTCTCGCACGCTATTCAGAAAAGTTCTTATGGCCTTCGGACAACTTTTGGATAATCTTCGGAAAGTGGTCGGAAATATTCACAAAATCGTCAAAAAGGTCGTTATTAGTATGTTGATATAGTAAACAAAATAATACATGGTTGCTTGTAGGTACGAAATTTATCTTCTCTTGTTCAACTTTATATCTCACGAATGAGCGCAGCGAACGAGTGAGAATTCGAGTTGAATACTCGAAGGGAAATTCCATGTCTACGCGGGCCTATGCATTATTCTCTATATCTTACATTAGTCTCTTCGTTAATAACTCAAATTCAGCTATTTGTTAGTTTGCCCTGTTAGTAATGGCTACTCTTGTGTTGTAACAATGTAAATTTAGTTGTGGTTATACAAGGCTCTTTACCTGTGTCTCGCACAGGTACAAATTAACTCCGTACTTGAGGCTAATAAGTCAGTGCAACTTGAAAATTAATAGCGTGAATAAAACCTTCTTGACATAAAAGGACATCTACAAATTTTGGCGGTGTAATGCGTCTTTTTTTTATTATTATTGTTTGTTGAAGTATCAGCAACTTATACAAAATTTGTTTACCACCGTTGCTTTTTCTACAGAGTGTTGTTTATGAAACGCCAAAGATAAATCGTTGTTTTTTGATCGAAAACAATGATACAGCAGTCCTAAAAACAGAAGGAGTTAATTTACAGGTGAGTGACAGACCAAGAGATCGAGAACCACATGATTTATAAGTTCTTGCCCTTTTATGAACAGAAAAAACTGATATTACTGGCCAAACTGCTAGATCCTTTGTCCCCGGATAGCAGCAGATGACTGGACATTTGTTGATTTGGAGATTTCCTCTTTTGAAAACCACTCATTCATCCAATGCTCACTTCTCAATAGTAATTTCAAATTTTCACAAATAGATAGCCCAGATGACCTGGGAATTACTGTCGTATATCTTTTGTTTGTTTTCAGAAGCTTCCTCTTTGTAAATAAGCTCCGGATAGTAAAAACTAGAAAAATACCGTTGAAAACGCACAAACAAACTCATGTTCCCATTTGTACATAATACCTGGAAAATAAAATAAACTAAAATCATGCTTACCATTCTAAACTGATAACTGACTGAGCGACCGAGCGACCTGACTGACCATTGTTAGCGATCCAGCCGACCTGTGATGGACCTGTTGAGACTTGACCGACTCATCAGCCTGACCAAGCTAAATCATTATTTTTTCTTTGTTATCAGGCTGCATGGCGACACGCCGATATATTAGACTTAACAAAGGTATATACGAACGACATTCATGCCATGGCGCGCGTTTATGGGATCGAAGCGGCAGCAAAAGTTATAAAGCAGGTATTTTGCATTTTCATATCTTGCTTCTGAATTTCTCAGTTGTGTATTTTATTAAATTGAAACGACAATGTCAACACATTGTCAAGCACCGACTACTTAGGGGCTATTAATTTTTTTATATTTACCAAGCGATGACAAAATGATCGTCTTTTGCCATTGGTTAAATTCCGTGTCGACTCCATCAACTATTTTGTATCACTGATTTTTTGCAGGAAATAAAGAACGTTTTCAGCGCTTATGGAATCCATGTAGACCCACGTCATCTCAGCCTGGTGTCGGATTACATGACGTTCGAAGGCACCATCAAAGCATTCAATCGTGTTGGACTCGAGTCAAATGCCTCTCCTTTTCAGAAAATGAGTTTTGAAACCACAACACATTTCCTGCGCGGAGCTGTGCTATCAGGAGACACGGAGAAGTTGGCTTCTCCATCGTCAAGACTAGTAGTTGGCCGAGTGGTGGGAAGTGGTACAGGCTGCTTTGAACTGCTGCAGCCGCTATACTGAAGACTCTTGTCATCTGTTATATAACAAATAAAGTTTGGTGTTGCTAAATATTTCCCTGGGCAGATTTTGAGAACAAATCAGTTTTACCGCTTCAGCAGGGACAGTTAAATAATGAGTAAAAGCAGATAGGAGGCATTGCAAGTTAACTTCCTTTTAAATTGCAGTTCCACTGACCCGAGTCTGAGATCATTGACAGATCGTTTACGCCTGTCCACACGTGAATGCTCTGGGGAGCGTTTGCGATGATCAAAATATTCCATGGCATAGAAAATACAGCCAATCAGAATAAAGGAAAGCCGTTGTATATTCGACGTTATGACACCCAACCTTCCCATCATGCTCCGCGCGTATGTCCCACTGATTGTGTTTGGCCTCTGTATTTTCTATGGCATGATATAAAATAGTTATGCGACGCTTTCTCGTAGTATACCATAGAATATTCCACTTGTCGCTTTTATTTTCTTGGTATACCGAGAAAATACAAGTAACTGGTGGGATATTCCGTGGTATACTACTCGAAAGCGTTGCATCACTAGTATGTATACGACTGGAAGTCAAGATATGACAACAGAAAAATCTTTAGCAGCAGACAGTTTCATTTGACGTATTTAGCGTCTGGCAAAACATGATCGTGCACCATTGAACACGTTTGCCAGGCTATTTACTGTCTTAAAGTGTTCCTATCCAGTTGAAGACAGCAGTTTACCGTTAATTTTCAACCTTATTTAGGAAGGTGGTCTCCCACTCTCCATATTTGTTTTTCGTAAATACAGTGAAAACCCGCGCGAAAGAACCTACATTTTTTGAAGTCTGGCATAATAGGTTCTTGTATTTTGGAGTAATTATTGGTAATCTAGACTAAGTAGTTACTTAATTAGGTTCTTATTTTCTACGAAGGAGATACAGTTGTTGATTACCAGAAAAATTAATAAACCTTGGTTTAGTCGTTGAGTATACAGTATTTGCTTACATCTGTATTATGCATGTACAAATACAAATTTTTCTTGTAATACATATTTGTAATATAAAATTTTTTCTTTCAATATAAATTTGCAATCTCAAAGTCACACTCCTTGGTTAAAATGTTTATCATAATTTAACTGTAACCACATAAGAACCTGCTTGATTTTGCTTGGCTAAACAGGTTTTTCTATTTTTGGGTATTAAAATGGCAAATTTCTGCCAGCAGTTTCCTAAGCGACTTGGTTCCTAGCCGCGGGTATTTACTGTACTTCGTAAATACTTCAGGCGTCGTGAAATGTTGCAAAACTCTGCGGAAGCAGTGAGCTTTGGATATCCAAACCGGGTCACCCTACATGTACCTTGAAAAACAGTGACCCTCCACCCCATAGCCGGCCAGGGCTTGGCACGAGAAAAGACACGG